AATTGGCAAAGTAAATAAGTGCTATCAAGAAAAATTGGACATTGGTTTATCATTGATTATTTATTTAAATAATCAATAATAAACCAATGTCCAATTTTCCTTGGCAGCATTTAAATAATAAATGCCAAAACAAAGTTTCACCTTTGCTTCTCATTTTTTTCAAATTGTGAGAGCAAATAACAGCAATAAAGATTTTTGTACTTCGATTTAAAGCATCTTATTACACCTGCGTCCATTGGTTAAAGATGTGCAGTCATATTAGGCGGGAGAAAATGTACAGTAATGTTTGTAAGATAAGAATAGTCTAGAACTTTTTTTTGAGGTTCTTTACAGGACCTTCCCTGCGACCTTGCTCGAGACCTTCCTTGCGACCTTCCTCAGGACCTTCCATGTGACCTTCCTCGAGACCTTCCTTGCGATCTTCCTCGGGACCTTCCTTGCAATCTTCCTCGGGACCTTCCTTGCGATCTTCCTCTGGGCCTTCTTCGAGACTTTATTTGTGATCTTTCCTGAAGTCTTTCCTGAAATTGTTCTTCGGATTCTTCGAGCACTTCAGATTCTTCGGATTCTTCAGGTTCTTTAGGGGTTTTGGGTTCATTGGATTCATCGGGGCCTTTGGGTTCATCGGGTTCTTCAGGTTCTTCAGGGTCTTCTAGTTCTTCGGGTTCTTCAGGTTCTTCAGGCTGTTCGGTATTATTATTTTCCTTCGATGACATATGAGAAGGTGCATTATCGACTAGAAGTAAAACCTTCCTATTTTGAATACGAAAACCAGTATCGATAAATTTCAACTAACGCTTCCAAATATCACTTCTTATCCATGCTTTTTTATTGTTCTGATAGTCAACTGGTAATTGCAATCGATTTACTCCATTGAAAGATCGTGGTTTTTTAGAGGAACCAATGACCAATGGACGAAACTTGTGAGAGCCAGTTGAATTGGCACAATTAATACGGTTACTCTTGATTTATCCTAAAAGAAATTTATTATTTTAAAAATTTTTTTTTTTAAATTAGGCTATACAAACTTAATAAATCAGTTCTCACAATATAAAATTTTAAAAGTAATCAGGTAACCCAGCTTTTAATTTTATTTTCAAAAAATTTTAAATATAAAAAACAAAATT